ATCTATCTATCTATCTATCTATCTATCTATCTATCTATCTATCTATCTTTCTTTCTTTCTTTCTTTCTTTCTCTCTCTCTTCATATCCCTCTCCCTGCCTCATTCCCTCTCTCTCGCTCACGCTCTCCCCGCTCTCTCCCCTCTCGCTTGCTCGCTACCACCCCCTTCTCTCTTCCTCACTATTATTCCCCCCCCTTTCCTTCTTCCCCGCGCTCTCTCTCTCTCCCTCTCTTGCTCTCGCTTTCCCTCTCTTGCTCTCGCTCTCGCTGTCCCCTCGTTTAGCTGTCTCTCACAGCGTCCGCTGTCTTGTACTTCTCTTGAATGCCGTTACACAAATGCTGCATATATCGTCTGTTTTCAGTCGGCAATCCTCGTGCCTTTCTGCTATCATATACCGCTATTATTTACATCTTCCCGTTGTATTCCACATATCGCGCTCAATTCAACGCAGTAACCACTCAACAGCGTCAAACACGACTCTTCTGGTTGCACGCGATAAAGGGATCAATTCCCCACTTCACCCGACTGACTCCCCATCCTTCTCCCTCCCTCCCTCTATACTTACCCCCTACTCCTCCTCCTCCTCCTCATCCTCATCCTCCTCCTCATCCTTCTCTTCCTCCTCCTCCTCATCCTTCTCCTCCTCCTCCTCCTCCTTATCCTTCTCGTCATCCTCCTTCTCATCCTTCTCCTCCTCCTCCTTCTCCTCATCCTTCTCCTCCTCCTCCTCTTCCTCCTCCTCCTCCTCATCCTTCTCCTCCTCATCCTTCTGTTCCTCCTCCTCATCCTCCTCCCCTCTCCCCGTCGACTCTGTGGAGTAAGGCAGACGTGGACAGTATGTGTCGTGTGTGAGATTTGTAGCTAAGTAGCGAGAGAACGAGAGAGAGAGGGAGGGAGAGTAGCATTATACGCCTTCACGCTCTCGCGTGTACAATGACAAATTAGAGTGCACGGGTCCATTACCCCGTTGTTACTGCGTTTCTTTCACCCCGTTCTCGCTGACTCATGCATAAATCAAACGCTCATTAGTTCGATAATTAGATATGTATGCTCGCTCGCGTTTCCGGAGCTGGATGCTTAGACAGGGATGCCGAGGCGATCGGAATTTTTTTTCACTTCATATGCGTGAAAGATTTACGTACGTAAATTTCGCGCGAATAAAATAGGAAAACGTCGTTTCTCGTTCCGAGAGTTCTCTCGTTTCTCGTTTCTCGCGCGAAAATATTTTAATGGGATGTAGGCGAACACAAATGATTCCCCGTGGTTCCCCCGTTGGGTGGATGTCGCATCATCAGCATGCGTTACTTTCACTCGCGATGCGCATCTCGTTAGTGTTGGCAGTGAGGTTGCATTTGGGTCACGCGTCTCTCCGAGAAATATGATATATTTCAATCAGTGCAAAACAATCTTAGCATGCAGAACGAGCGAGGTCTGACACCTACCCACACCACGGACTATTTGTGTCGGTCTGCAGTAACTAGGCGGGTCTGCGGGGCTTTGTTGGTATTCAGGCTTTGTTCTGAGCGTCTTTTCTTCATCAATTAGCATGGAACTATGTTTTTGAGAAGGTGAGTAGTGTTAGAGGTTCGTACAGGCTATAAAAGTATGAACTGGAAATGTCATTTATGAAGATCATGGAATGTATGACGAGTGAAACTACGCCCTGCGTTATATCTTTACGATATAAGAAAAGCGTGTGTCGTGTGAGTTATGCAAGCGAAGGGTGAGAGAGAGAGGGGGAGCGACGGAATGAGAGCGAGAAAGAGCGCATGGGGAGCGAGAGAGACAGAGAGAGGGGGGGGGGTCTACAATTCATCCTCTTCGTTCAAGGACTGTTGCGATTTAAATTACATGTTCGTAGGATGCGCAAATGCGTATGAATAATATTCTCTATTCACCAAACGTTGGGAACACGAAAAGTCGGATTTCCATG